TTATTCTTTCTCTGATTGTTGTCTTCACAAATAATATGACAATAAACATATCTATTTTGTAACTTACAAACTGATGTAGACTCCCTGAAAAAAGTGGTCTTAATCAACCAAAGACAGATATAGAGGCCTTGATGTTTTATGGACCTGAGGAGAAGGCTCACTGTTTGCTTAGAGCCACAGACTGACTGTTCAATTGTCTTGCTTGTTGCTCCAAATGTCACTTTGTGACGCTCTAACGCTGAGCTTGTCCTGCTGTGAGCAGAAGCACTGGGACACACCTCCTGCAACAACAAAAACAAGACCACAGGTCAAACTGTCAATTTATCTAGGAAAATCATGCAAATATCAAACCCAAACTTTAAAGAATGATCTTTAAATAACTGCTTCCATTAAGGGTAAAATGAATATTGACGGATTTGTAACAATTCCCATGAGATGCCAATTGGACTACGTTCCAAACATTTACTGTCAACAATGTCCTCAACTATCTAAACCTTATGACCCATGCATGTGTGGTTGACCTTTTTTCATATTGTCAATAAAAAATAATGGAGAAATAATCATCCAGCCACCTTTAGATATACAGTAACTGGAAAAGGCTCTAGCACGTGTTCAGTTACCTCCTTCATCCTCCTACCTACTTCATCTATGACCCACCAGTCTTTTGCCCCCATTCGGCCCCCAGGCCTGTCAGCCCTAACAACATGGTAATTAAGTGGGTGCTACATGTCAAAAAGCTGCAGTGCTACACATTTCTTATTGGATTACAAGGTGCTGGGAAGGAATGCTGAAACAGCCTGGTGTCCCTCTCCTTGCTGCTGCTGGTAGAGGCCCAAAGAAACAACACAGCTTCAAATGAATAGAGATCCTAGCCTGTCCTTCACGCCCGCTGACCGCTGATGCAAAATACAGCATGTGCCATTTATTTCTAGAGTCAAAATAACCCACAGTGTGAATGCGTGTTTGAGTTTGTGGTGCTTAATAGATTCTTAATGTGCAAAAGGATTGTGGCGTATCAGATGGGCTGGGAGTTACTGGCGTGACAATGGAAACATTGGAATGGATGGCTTGCTTCAACACCTGGACAAGGGTTCATAAGTGTGTGTGTGTGTGTGTGTGTGTGTGTGTGTGTGTGTGTGTGTGTGTGTGTGTGTGTGTGTGTGTGTGTGTGTGTGTGTGTGTGTGTGTGTGTGTGTGTGTGTGTGTGTGTGTTACAGGTTGAAATGACTCTGGTGGTGATAAAGCAATAAACCAACCACACAGTCAGTGGCAGGGCAGCCAAATGCTATATGGGCAGGAGGACAGGAGAAGAATGGAGCTGTTGTATTGGAGCAGGGGATGTCCATGCAACAAAATTAATCAGTTCATGTCACCATTTATTTACACCCTTTCAGAAATCACGGCTTACAAAGAAAGAAGTTTCAGAGTGATGAGCATTGCTCACATACAACCATATTTGGTTTATTTTTTTTACCACATTCACTGTAAGTTAGTGTGCCAAACCTGACTAATACTGAGACAAAAAAGAGTGAGAATTCTGAGCATTTCATTACATTTGTAGATAGCACCAACGAATGTACTACTTACAAAAATGTACAAGGGGCACCAATTTAATATCCGTTACAAATTGGTGAAAATCCATTGAATAGATTGAGACATTTAGGTAAAATAATAATGGGGATTTAATGGGGGGAAATAGTACTATTGTTGAAATTCCTTATTTTTTTACCAGACTGTTTATAAGATATGGATAAAGCCATGCATGTAATTGCATGTAGTACCTTGCTTTTTGGTATTATTTTTATAATGATTTTATTGCTATACTGATGCTGTCACTCTGCCCATTTGCACTGGAACCTGGTAACTTATTTTTCAATTTATATGACAGCTTTGATGTTTGAATTTGCAGGAAACAAATGAAACATGCATGTGCTCATTAAGATGCTTAACACAACCATTTAGGTCTGTGAAAGCAACAAACACATCAGCAACTTCTGTTTGTTTTTTTCTCAACAGAGCAGAGAAACAAGAGACAGGGAAGACAAAACTCCCAGAACGGTTGTGTGCTTGTGTGTTTTCTTCCCCCGACATCACAGCATGAAGGAAAGTCATTGAAGTCTCCTAATGGCAAATGACACCTGCGTACCCCAAACAAAATGCTACTGTGTGAACTACAACAGTTGATAAGAGGGATGGAGGAGGGGGGTGCTGAGTCAATAAACCCGGTTCACTCTGCTGACATGTTAAATCTCACACTTTGGGAATGAGACATTAGTAAGGACTACAGCAGATACTTATCAGTGACAGTTAGTGCAGACAAACACTGTCAACCTCTGCTCACCTGCCAACTGCTGTCAGAGCAGTCAGGTATGCACACACATGCCGATTGTTAGGTCATCAACAAACACAATGTCTTCATTGTGCTCTTGCTGTATTGCAAGATTTGATGCTTCAGAGCTTTGAAAATTTATCTTTAGAGCCAGGAATAAATAATAACCAGCTGGGAATTTTGAATATGTTCTAAAAATTAAATGTTACAATCACACATGGTTTTATGCAGGTTAAGGGCAAAGCTAATTCTTGGTCCATTGATTTAAAGGTTAATTTGAGCATTTTCTAACTTTGCATATTTTGTTGATGTAATTGGTATATAAAGTTTGGAATCACTTAACTACATCAATTCAGCTTGCAGCAACAAACTGGCTGCAACGTAATCCATGTGGGAAAACTGCAACCAATCAAATTGCATCCATGAAAAGTGCTTGTGCCAACCACATGATCAGATTTGTCAGAAGTTTCTGTCAACTGTATGGAAAGATTCCTTACAGATAGGGTAAGGTCATTTTTGTTTGAACAGAACAATGAGCAATGAAATGTGTCTTATTGCAGGGAAGCAGTGGTGAAATCTTAAGTTGGAGAGTGAAAGGTACACTTTCCATAATGTTGTCTGATGCTAATGCTACATCAACTCTTCTATTATAACATTTTAAAAACACAACTTTTGCTCTATTTGCACCTTGCTCCCACACTGATCTGTCATTTATAGCCCCTAAACTAAGACTGTTGGAAAGCCATGTTGACCCCATTTAAGTTTAAACTCTTTCGGTGCAGAATCTGAGACTTTAACTTAAAATGAATAACTTTTAAAAAAGGTGCTGCTCACCTTGCTTTCATGCCGGCTTCTGTCGTGTATTCTATAATGTAACTACACTTTTTTTTGTATTCTATATGTTATGCTAAACTAAGCGACTACATTTGTGCAAGAAAGGGACCATGTTTAATATTATTCTTTAAAAGTATGTTTGTACATAATGTACATTTCAGGTGCATTAACATCATAGAAACTGAGAAGTTCTGAGGAAATTTTGGACTTTCCATTTTTAAATAATATATAAAGAAGGTATTACCTGCAATGATTGCACATATTAATTATTTAGTGTATCTTTAGATGACATCATCTCTCTTTCACTCTCTCTCTGGTGACACAAAATGTCATCATCAGCCCATTTTCAATCACAAAAGAAATAAAATAAACTCTTGACACCAAGACATCCATAAACTCCTCTGTGATGGCAGATTTCTTGTGGGTTAGGAGTAATAAAGGAAATAAAGGAAAGTGACAAGAAAATTGAGGTGGATTGGTTTGGCTGCAGAAACCTGCCGATGACAAAGTCAACATTTGCACCAGAAAGAAGAGATTAGTGATATTTTTTTCCAGACTCTTTTCTTGATCATCATTGCACGGATCAGTATTCTGCAGCTCATGTGAAACCAATGTTTGGAACTGTCTTTCAGCATGCTCACACACACACACACACACACACACACACACACACACACACACACACACACACACACACACACACACACACACACACACACACACACTAAGACACTCAGTCACTCACACACACATAATGACAACCCGTAACTAGAAAGGAATGAGTGGAGAAATTCAAGTTGAACCAATGAGATGATGTAGCTCCCAGATTTATGTGTTGATATCATATTTCAGGCCCCCAGAGAATATAGTTTGTCCACATCCAGCCAGCCACAAAATCATAAACGCAATGTATCTTGAATGCCACAAATGATGTTCTTTTGAAATAGAAATATTATTTGTTGTCATATGTTTGTAATTATTGAAGGATTGTTGTTAAGATGTTATTCATGTCCCATTTGTATGACATGATCTAAGTTAAGATGCAAGTGTGTATGTGATGCATGTGTGAAGAGGTAACTCCGCCACACAATCCTTTAACAAGTTTTAACTCCATTATAATTTAAATTATGTCAGTTTTCACAATTGAGCCAGAATAATCTTGGCCCCAAACAAAATCAAAAGGTATTTTGTTTCATTGTTTGTCTAAAATCACCTTCAATCATTAAGGTATTCCGTACCAATCTAATATTGTTGTGTCTAACGTCAGAATGAATGGCACTTCTTCAACAACACAACTGAATAAATTCTTAATATTTTTAATTAAGGTTTTAAACATTACAATACAACCTTAAAATTTCACATTTAGAGGAGTTTTAAATGTCTCTGATCTAAAGGCTAGAATATACATGTTTTTATTTTGATATTAACTAAAGAGCTTCTTATGCCTTTATTTGGATAGGACAGTGGACGGACAGAAAAGAGAGTGGGGAATGACATGCAGAAAGGAGACCCAGATCAAGTGAAGAGGACAACAGCCTCTGTACTTCGGGCACGCAACATAACCGCTAGGCCAGTTGGTGCCCCAGCATACTTATTTTTGTTATTATTTTTGTCTCGCAGTAAAATTAATTTACAACTATCTAACTGCCTGTATTTGCATGTTTTCCATATGTTCGAAAATTCCTGTTGGGTGTGAACTGTTTTGTTGTGTGTGAATAAAAATGTTCGATTTTTGGAGGGTGCAGACTATCTTTTGACCTAAACAATAAACCTGCTCACAGTTAAATGTGTCGTAGTATGACCATAAAATGAAATACAAGACTTTTTATGGAAAGAGTTCAGTCTTTCAAAGTTTATTGACATGAGGAAAACATTGGGATAATGTTTAAATACTCTACATAATAAAGTTATCAAACATGCACATGTGAAATATAATACACTGTACATAAATATTACAAACAGGTTTCTAGCTGGTCTAATTTCTGATGATATGCATGTGGGTTTGAGATTTGCCCGCCAACTGAGCAAATCTTCAAATCAACGTCTTTATGAAAGTTAATGGAATGCTCGACTCATTGCAGGTGCCGGTCTCTTCAGTATGGCCTCCACAGAGAAAGACAATGACTCACTGGACACCATCTTGGTCCCCACAGGTTTGGTTAAAAAGTCTTTAGCGTACCTGTCGCTCATTTTGACTGCCTGAATGTCTTTGGTGGAGCCCTCCCTGAACTTTCGTGCGGCCTCCTCTAAGAGCTCCTTGCAGTACGGCGCCTTGAGCTCTGGCCCTGCACCGCCGCTGTTTTTTTCACTCAGCGAGTGCTGAATGAGGGAGTGAAAGGAGTTGAGTTTCATGGAGAGCTTAGCGCTGTCCTTGCTCAGTTTGTTCAGAACTTGGCTGGAGTTGTGGGAATGAGAGTTGTTGGGGAAGGATTGTCCAAAGCTTCTCTTAGGGGGAGAGAAGGCCGAACACTCCCTCTGCCCTGCCTGAGTGACAACAGGAGGTTTGGGATCAGCTCTTTGAGAGTCTGAGGAGTCCTGCAGGGCAGCTACCCGGGATCCCTCTAGTTTAGCAGCGAGAGCAGCCGCTGCCTCTTGCTCTGGCGGCTGACTCTCTGTAGGCATCACTTTTGGCTCCCACACAGCGCTCGGCTTCATGTTCTGCACAGCCGTGGCGTTGAACAGACACTGCTGGTAGAGGAGGGCGTCACCCAGGTTAGCTGCACTACGGGGCCACATCATGAAGCCACCTCGCGATTGTTGCAGAGGGTAGTGGCGGTAGGTGGTGGCCACGCTGACGTTGGAGGCAATGAGCTCAACATTGGCAGAGCCAGCAGGGTACTGCATGGACAGATCCAGGCAGTTTGGACCCAGGAAGTTGCACAAGTCCTTGGGTTGCGGCTCAGCCTGAGCAGAAGGCGAGTATGCTGTTTTATACGAGTTGTACTCAGCAGCGTGGTGGACCATGTTATTAGGGAAGAGAAGCGAAGCTGTGGCCGTCTGGCTGTTCTCCAGCAGCTCTCGCTCTTTGTACTCCCGCTCCAACATGATGGTTTCCAGCTCCTTGTCGGCAAAGGCCCTCCTCTTCCTCATGCGATCGCTCAGTGGTGGGGGGAGGGACGGGTTGGCCGCCAGAAAAGGATCCGACTGCACTGGACGGTATCCTGTCAACAGAAGAATTTAAATGTGTTAATGATTCAATTATAATCGATTATGTCAAGCATGCATGGAGAATGTTCACAAAACTGACAAACATGCATCAAAGGAGAGATTTCATTCCAGGTATGAATCATGCTCTGAAATTATATCACATTTGTATTTTGCAACAGCACTATAGAGATGATAATTCCTGAAATTATTGCATGCTAAAATTGTTATCAAGGCTCTGCTTACAGTTGTTAAAAGCTCCATGTTACTTCTTTGGATGTGTTAATAAAAAAGCAGAGAATTCCAATATAAGTTACGGGAGATACAGAGGTTAATCAGTGTTAGAATAAGACAGCATGAATCAAGAGAAAGAGGATAAGAAAAAAAAAATCTGTTGACTCATTACCTTCAAGGATGCTTTTTGCAAGCATGGTGGACGGTCGAATGTGTCGCTGATATATTGTCCTCCTCTCTGATGGAATATGTTTCCCCGATAGACCTTTCTTATCCTGAGAAATTAAGAAAAGAAAAAGACTGTAAAGACGTGCTTTAAAGATTATTCATGAAAACATTATGAAAGGGGACGGAAAATCACAGCTTAAGTCCAAATCACGTGTTTGGATAGTAAAATCCGATGTCTTTATAGTAACCTACTTTGAATATGGGTTGCAGAAAAGTCTATTAATAGGTTCAATCACTATGTTTAAAAAAAAAAAAGAATGAGGTGTGAGCCCAAAAGCTTTCTTATGGTAAAGATAAACAAAATGGCAAATGCATCGATTTTTTTAACAACAAAAAAATTAATCTACAGAAATATTTCATCAGTTTTACCGCTAGATCTTTTTACATTACTTCAAACTGCGGTACCCCTAAAGACTTTGCAATAAAAATCACACATTTTGCTTGACAACTACACACAACTAATAACACACATTCAAAACATCCCTCTGTTATGATCTTTAAAATACCACAGCTGACGTGGTTTATTATTTTACCACAGGCACTTTCACATATTTGAATGTCACCACAGTCTAAACACACACACACACACACACACACACACGACACGCAGACTATAAATATGTTCGCATTGAGATGACAATACCATGAGATTAAAACGTTTCTTTTTACATTCTATAATAATTGTTAATATATATTAATAGTTAATAAAGAATAAAGAAACAAATGCTAAAGTGAGCACACCAGATTGACATCAGTGTTCAATCAAACAACGAGATAATAATTTACATTAAACAACTACAATAGTTGTCGACGCCAAGGTCCTAATCAGTTCACCTACATACAAGCTACATCTTCAAATTGTATCCATACCAAATCCTGCTGACAACATTTTGGAAAAACTCAACAGTATTTTCAAGCAGCCAAACCTCTTTGCTGAAAAATGAAAAGTGACTTTTCTGTCCAAGCAAAGGTTGTAATAATAAAGTATTTGGGAGTTCATATAAAGCTATTAAACGTGCCTCGTATAAATATTATTAAAGGCATAATATCAGCCCATTTTAAAGACAAAAAAAGTTTTCCAGGACCATTATATTCAGAAACTATTTAGCCTATTTTTTTTACTTTTTAAACTTTTCCTTCCTTTTTGATTTATTAAGGTCACTTTCATTGTTGTGGTTGTATTTGTGTGATTCCATCACCTGTCACCCAACTTCTGTTGTTTTAAATTCGGATTAATAATTAAACTTGATGATTTGATATTGCTTGATTTATTCCACATTGTGACTTAAGTACAATAAAAAAAAATCTCTATAAGATCAACTACAAAAAGTACTTTGAATAAATGAGCTGTTTGTATGAAGAGAAACAAAAACTTGGAGGATCAGTCATGAGAGGTTCAATTCATATAATTCGAATTTGACTGGACTTCAGTTTTTTAAATCGGTAGGCCTAATCCAATTGTTTGTGCATTGTTATAAACGAATGTGAGTTGACTTCCCAAGTACTACAAAAAAAAGTCTGCCTAAGACTCTGAGGTCGAGTAGCCAAGTCATCTAGCTAAAAACTACACTTCACTTCATCAAAGCTTTCACTAGGCCTATCTTACTGATAATGGTGCAGAAGCATATAAAGCAGCCATCGCATGTACGGAAGCATTCACCTCCACAAAGCCCCGTCTCACCTCCGTGGCTTGCTGCCTCCTCAGGGCAACCTGCGCCGCCATAACACGCTGCCTCTCCACCACCAGCAGGCAGTTGGCGCACTGGCAGTCCCTCCAGCGGCAGAAACGCTTGTGCCCCTTCAGACAGGACACAACGCCATGATTTCGACAGCGGGCACACTTTGGTGTCCGGCTCAGCTTCCTCTGGTCCCCCGCACACAGGCCGCTGGGGCCCGGCTTCTCGTCGTCCTCTGTGGCGGCGGCGCAAAGCGGCACCGAGCCGGGTCTGCTGGAGGAGTCCGCCGGGTCGTCGCTCTCTGTCTCCAGGCTCTCCACGTCGATTTCAAACTCGCAACCGACGTCTGACATGTTTGCCTGAGTCCTCCGCCGCCTGTCTGTAGGCACAGCTAGTTTGTATCTGTAGACACATAATATAGTTAGACTAAAGAATTAGGCCTAATAGAATGTATAGTATAGTAGTATAGTGATATATAGCAGAAAAGTCCTCTGACAGCCTCACAGTCGAGAGGACTTAATGTCTTTAACCTCACCATAACGCACTGTGCAAAAACGTTTATTGCAGAAAGTTAAACCCTTGAAAAATAACAATTCATTGGTAAATAATAAGTTATGGACCTCCATTAAATCGCCTGTTATGGTTTAAATGAATAAGGCTTCTTTTTTTTTACTTAACCAGCTGAATTTCTTCACACAAATGGAAATATGCATATTGTCTCACACGTAGAAAACCAACACATAGCAAAGATTTAAAGCTCTATATGAAAATGTATCCGACATAGAAAAATGAAATTGACTAATCTTCCTTAAATCCAAGAAAGTTTATCTGTTCAACAGATAGTTTAAACCATCAATACTGACCTGTTGTAATTGCTGTCACTAGCCCATTAGACGGTGAGGGCTTCAAACTTTATTTTTTAGATAGGCTAGAAATAAATAATAGCCTACATCAAAAAGGCCTAAACTAATTGGAGGAATATGAAGATAAGAAATGTGAAGACTACAATAACTCAGCATGAGAATGGGCCATTTAAATGATAGTCAAAACGACTGATCAGATCAGTGCATAAATAGACTGTTCTTAACCACACTTCTATCTGTTCCCAACAAATGTCCATCTGCTTAAATTGTTGAAACTGAATTCTGAACTTCCTGGAAGAATTTGGACAAACCTCAGAGTTATGCCATTTAGACTACTTTGTTATCTAACCAGCAGCATATTGTCTCAAACACCTTGCTTTGAAATAGTATAAGGCTACATTAACAAAAGACAGAAGAGTTCATTTTACCTCCAAGAGTTTTCAGCGGTGCTGTCCGGGGTTTGTTTAATAGCAGTGTTGGAAAGCGTTGAGGACGTCGTTACGTTTTTGCTGAACCACACAAACAGTAGACTCCAGAGCAGGCTTGTAAATGTATTAATTGAGTGGATGACTGAGTGTCACACTCCGCACGGATCCAGGTTTCCTCTGAAGCAGGGACACTGAGCGCCACTCCTAAGAACAGCCTCAGTGTGTGCTCTCTGCTCTCTGATTGGCTGCTTCTAAACAGGCAACGACCAATGGGATTAAGAGCGGTTATTTGGGCGGATGGGGATCTCCTAGTAACTCTTTATAATAATTTGATACCTACTTTTTTTTTTTTTACTTAGTGGACTAATGAATCCATTTGATTATTATTATTAGTCTATTCTGTCTCAGGAGCCACATTGAGTAACCGACATACTGTCATTAACCGGCTATATCTGACAATTACTGACCAATGGCATTTTATGGATAGGGATAGAAGAAAATGTTTTTTTATATTTTAAAACTGAGGAGGAACAATTTCTTTTTTTTTTCTTTTTTTTAAAGGATGCATAGCTTAGCTTAATTCTGATATGCTACGATGAAAGTAATTGATTAACATAAGGAGAGCAAAAGACACCCATCCCAGGTAAAAAAAACCTGATAGGCTCTCACGGCCTAAATAAATCGTTTGCAGTCTTTCGGCATGTCGTTTTTTTATTCAACTTATTGGGTACTTAGGCCACATTCATTAGTATCCAGTGTTTTAATTTATAGTCTCCTGGAACATAATTTTAGAATATGCTAAATAACTCCCTATCAAAAAATCATTGGCATGTTTAAAACCGCGACTAGTTGCAACAGGCCTGAATAGTCCATATTCAGTGCAGATCTTTATAAAAATATCACAAGGCATTTGTCCAACCAAAACTGTCATCATTTTAAAGTAGCCACTACAAAGTGCGTATCGTCAAAAGTAGCCTAAATCCAGACCACAGTGTTAAACCGTCCTTTGTCGAATCAGGTAAACAGGTCTGACAAATGTTTCATGCAGGTTGTTGAATTTTGTCCTCTTGGCAGAAGTAGCTGAGGATGATCACAATGTTTTCACAACAATCACACCTGAAAAAATTACTATGTCAGCATGCCAGTCCTGCACACAAAAAAACTGAGTGAGACACAACCTATCAGCTTTAACCTTTGACTTCCTTTAAAAAATCCCAAATCATAAATATGTTGGCTACACAAGAGCCAAAGCTCTTAAACATTGAAGAAACAATGTCCAGTCACTCTAAGATCCCCTTAAAATGACTGAAGTATTCTGATCTAAGATTTCAACACACATGCAATGCTGTTTAGTCCTTATAATTAAAAATTCACATTTTTTTTTTAGCTAGAAGTGGCATATAGTCTATGCCTAATATTTGATATGTCGGAGTTAACAAAGGGGAGTATGACGCGGTGGGTGTGTCCGATTATAGGCCTACATGACTTTGAAAAAAAGGAATGTGGACAACTTTCTATATTTGGCTCTTTGTTTGCAGCTTACTGAGTGAAAGTCAGCCTGACGCAAAAAAAAAAAAAAAGTAAAAGGAAGACAATTAAGCGTTTACACAGACGTCCATGGGAACTGACAACGGGACAATGCAGCCCTCGTCCTACAGTAGCGTTAAATAGACTGTTTATTTTCACCCTTTGTAAGCTTATCTACCTGTGAAGGTGACGAACAAAGCGACGTTAAGAGGAGGATATCAATCTATGTCATGGTTGTTTTGAATATTTAATTCAACATAAGGGTGTAGCCTAGTTCGTTAGTCCTGCTTTGCTTGAAATTAATTTAAAATAAAAAACAAATAAAATTATATTTTATAGGCCTATAGCATGAAGACCCTCTGGAATCTTTGGCGAATAAATCTAAGTTTTATTTTCATCATTTTAGATAATATATCTAATATATCCTCGTACTTCTTACAATATTTCATAGGCCTACTGTTAGTCATTAGAAAAGTTATTTCTCACATTTGATTAAGGGCAGCCTATATTTGATATTCCGATGAAGGGATTCTTAAAAAAAATGTAATGGCAATGTGAACGTATAAAGGTCGTCTAAACTACAATGACCAAACAGCGGGCCTTTTGTGTTAAAGGGTTTAATTTAGCTTTCATGGCCAGTAGGTTATAATAATGGACAGCTATTTAGCTTAAGAAAGCCTAACCAAAATAGGCTATACTGCTAGTTATTCACTTAATGTATAGGCCCATCCTTTTTCTCCTCAGACTACGTCATTGTTTCAATTAAGCCTATACAACTTATTTTTAGCTTTCATCTTCTTTTAATAAAATGTAGAAATCATTTTAGACTGCAATGACAGTTTAAAAAAAAAAAAAAAGGTTGACACCTCCACTATTTCTTGGCCGTCGACCCGTGTTTTTGGGTGTCCCCTCTTTTCTCCAGATGAGGACGGTGCCTCTTAACGGCTCCTCCATGTGTTGGAGGTGAAGACGTCAGTTCTGCAGGTGCAGCTTTATTTGCCACTTCGTCTTAATTTATTACGGAGGTTACGAGCGGCCACCCCGGGCTGCCGTTTCCCCGGCAGGAATGCTTTGATGTAAGGGGCAGGGTGGACGGTTGGGACGGGAGGATCCGCACAGACCCGGACCCTCCAGGTGAAATGTGTTGTCTGTGTCCGCGGCCTCATTATGGCCGAGTAGAGGGGGGGGGGGGGGGGCAGAGGTCCTTGGATGGGTTTCTAGGAATCATTTTTGGAGCATCCAAGGCACCCTTAGAAGACTTCCAGGGGTATGTTAAAGGGTCTTAGGAATGTAGAAGAGGTTAATGAATGTTCAGTATGGTTCCAGGGGTCCTTAATAGGCTAATGTTAAAATAATTTAATGTAATGTCAAAATTAGTTCTGAGGAGAATAGAGTCTCAAATCACCAGGAGTGTTTATGTATTTTCATTTTGATGAATGACTTTAGCTCTTTTGATGGTCCAGGGTTTATTTAGAGGTTTTGGGATCTTGTGTTGGGATCAATAAATCCTTGGAGAATCCACTATAATAGCCTAGTGCTTCCTTAGGATTTCAGGTGATAGTGCAGAGTTTTCATTGTTTTGTGGGGGGGGGGGGGTGCAGGAATCCTTTCAGAGTTATTCGATTTTAGCAGTGGTCTGTGGATCCTTCAAGAAAATCCTGGGCTCCTTGGAGTAGCCTTTGTTCAGGAAATCTGGAAGTGCGAACGTTTCTAGGGTCACTGACAGCGTCAAATGATCCGTAAGTCTAATGAATCCCGGAACAGATTTTAATTGTTTCATGCCAGTTGCCTGAGTCTAAATATCCTCGATACGATTCCCGGGATCCTTGAAGTTATTTTCAATTCAGTGAATATTAATCTTAAAGAAGTTTCAGGATCTTACGCAGGTTCTCAAAACTCTGAAGGGGTTTAAATAGAGGTTTGTGGAATCCTAAATAGATTCCAGAAGTTAGTAAAGAAGTGTCAGGTTTCAGGAGGTGGCTCGAGAACCATGTAGCTATTTAGGATATCATTTATTGAAAAACAAATCCAGGAGACTTAATTTGGGTCTAGAGGTGGGATCCTAAAGTAGGTTCAAAGCATCCTTGAATCAGTTTCAAGGGTCTTTGGAAGGATCTTGTTGATCCTTTTGGAGCTTCCAGGTGGAACTTTGGATCAAAATTTTTAATGGAAATCTTAAAGAGGCTTCAACTCCCACTGAAAGTCATGAAGGGATTCAAGGCCATAAGGAGGGAGTTTAAGGATGTCTAAGGGGATCCAGAAAATCCCTCGTCAAGGTTTCCATGGGTCCTTGAATAGATTCAAAGCATTTTGAATGAGATTTGTTTCTCAGAGGTAGAGTTAGTTTGAAAGACTGCAAGTCCCTGAAAGGATCTGACTATTTTCAGGAATGTCAAGGCTCCTAGAGGACTTGATTTCTAGGGTATTTAAATGGCTCCATGAGATGTTCCAGTCAACCAAGGCTCCAGGTATAGCTGGTTCATGTTCTTTGCCTGAGTCTAGAGATCCTTGAAGTGATTCAAGGGATCCTTGCAAAGGTTTTTGGGGATTTTGTTTGTGGTCTTTGAACGAGATGTCATTCATTTGATCCACAGCATTTTAAATTACCTCAAGAGGCTACTGAGATGCATGCACAGTTAGCCATGAGGAGTTTCCAGATGATCTCAGAGTTTGTAGTGAAGAACATTCTGGTTGTAATGCAGTAAATTCAGGAGATTTTTCAGTGTTTTCCTCAGGTCCTTCAAGGGGCTATAGGTTTCCACTTATGGCTTCTTGTTAGGTAGGGGTTTGGATAGATTTTAGATGATAAAAAAGTTTTAAAATGTCCCCTTAAACCAAAAATGTTTGACAAAGCTTCGTAATTCTGTAAATGCAGGGGCACTAGACCAGCACAATATTGTCAATCATTCCTAGCATGATTTGAGAGTTTGAGGTGTTTTTTTATAAATAAACTATGGGATTTGTTTTATAGGCCTCAAACCATTTATTTAAAAACATAGGTACTTGAGTCTTAAATGCTGTAGCACTCGTATAAATATCAATTTAATATGTTGTCTATGGGAAATATTATGATCAAAGGCTTAAGCTGATCTCATGTTTGTCCTCTAATGAGCACAGCCTGGTGAAACACACAGACACATTACGACACCTTCTCACACGCTGTCCAGTTTACTTTTAGGTCTGATTGAAACAGCAGCATCTTGTTGGAAGTGTCCTGCTGTGGCAGCCGTAAAGGGTAACCTGAGCTGTGTATAGACAGAGGAGCAGAGTGTGGGATCACTAGGGATCCTGTTATGTTAATTAGCCTCTGATGGAGCAACAACACATGTAGCTCAAATACTAAACCAGGCGGGCAACATTTGTCTCTGTCTGAAGAACTTTGACACCTCGACCTCTCCTCTTAATGTGCAACAAACAGGAGCATAGCTCCTTCAGCTGTGGAGGAAGTACTCAATTCCTTTACTTTAGCAGAAGTGCCAATAACAAACAGGAAAATACTGTATCCAAAAGTCCTCTGTTGAAATGTATTTTTTACAGTGAAATATTTAAGACAACAGACTCAGGAAAGAGTACTAAAAAATGGTAAAAGTTAAAGTACTCTGTGCTGAAAAAGTCACCTGTCCTTGTTTTATTAGTAAATATTAAATCATTGCATAATTAGTATAATGACACAAATATAGCTATATGTTAACCTATATGTGCATGTGTGGATGCATCTCATTTAAATAATACAATATGATTATTTTATTCATTCATAAAATTACCAGAATACATTGTATGTTTTATTTACATAGTAAGTTGTATTTATATTAAACGGTCATAATTATCTGACAATTGTATTACCCTAAAAAAGATCTGATGGATCCATATGATTAAGTATTCTATTTAAAAAAAAAAAAAAGATCATATTGCCTTTCAAATAAGAGTTTGCTACATATATGTTCAACTAAAAGAAACAGCCCAATTGAGCTAGTTTTCATAGGGTCGGACAAAGTTTGATAAGCTTTGCCTATAAAACCCAAATGAATCCTGTTTTATTTGATATATTGTGATCTTAGCAAGAAATAAAGCTACTGTTCTAGAGTCAGTCTATGCAGTAGAAATATACATTTTGTCCACTGGGTGGCACACTGGAGCTGGTAAACAGCCTTGGTTGGAACAGAAACAATGAGGAAGTGAATAATAAACTTTAGGGGACATATATCGTAACAGTAATTGAAAATTGCCCTTGAGAAAGTTTAAGAGTTAAAACGCAGCTTCAGGATTAGCATATGATTATTAGATCACATGGAATTACCTTTGGTCGGATAATACTTCAGATACATAATTTAAAAAATCATATACAAAGTTGAAGTAAGGATATGTAATCATGAAAAAGACTTACCAGTGTAAGTACAGATACAGTGCAATACAGAATATGAAAATATATAGGCCTAGTGAAATGTACAATATCCTTTTTAAAGCATACAATCTGTGAAAGTATGTGTATAAGTAGTTCTGTGAACATTGAGAAAGGTGAATAAAAAAAGTATAACTTTACCCTATTTTTCTGTTCCAATCCTGAATAATTAAAAAAAATACTTTGATTAGATTTGCTTAATTGCCCCATAAGTTCATAAATGGCCTAAAGGACGGCTGTCCCTTACTTCCAATCACTTTCATAGCTGTTATTTTTTTAACACATTATTAATGGATTCAATGATTATTCCTTTTGCATATGTCCTTAATTTATTCATAAAGCTATCTCTGATTTTAAATCTCCATTCCTACTGTATCTGTGAAAAGAACTGGCCTGAACATAGACATGAAGTAGATTAATTTTTCCACTAGATGGCAGCATCCAGTTTAAACTAGAAGAGAGACAGAGACTGTTAGAGAACAGGGAACAGAACAAAGTGCATTTTACATTTAAATACAGCCCTAAATTAAATGATTAAATAAGTGCATTTTCCTTTTATATCCATAATTCTCTATCTCTAAAAAATAAATGACCAGTTGTTTTTTTCACGAGTTAAATTAATTTTCCCCATCAGTTTAATGTACAGTATATATTTGAATTTTCTGTTACAGTATACTTCTGAGGGAAAACATTTACTAATTTGAACACAACAATCATTAATTACTTTATTTTTGCAGATTCCAGTTCATCAGCAGTATAAAATCATCACAATAATTGATGTATACTGACTGACGCAGATGATACTTTGTTAAATTACAAGGAGTTACAGACTTCAAGCCGATTCACTAGAATTAGTTCAACCATCACTAGCCTCAAAATGAAAGTGAAGTTAACATTTATTCACCAATATCTATCATTTATTATGCTATGAAGGGCCATCAGTATCAGGGGTAACTTTACTTTCGGTAGGCTAAGTCTGTATTTTTTTGATCAACTCACTGCTGTAGCATTTGGATACATGAATGCTAAATGGAAGAGAGTAATTCTACACTGTCATAACAATACTTATGCAGGTGATTTGAGTGCTACGTCTTTGGTTTATACACACACACAAAAATGAAACTTTGAAGTGGGCTGACAAACTGAAAAATGTTCTTCAATGAGGCAAATACTGGAATTCAAGTGAATTCAACTTGAGTCAACTTTGGTAAATTTAATGATCCCACTTTGACTGTGTTTTTGTTTGTTGTTTTACTTGTTTGTGTGTATGTGTGTGTGTGTGTGTGTGTGTGTATGGGGGGGGGGGGGGGGTTACAGAACAAGAATATGTAGATTGTCCACGTCCTTACCTTTTGCATCTGTCATTAAAATCCTGACTTTTTTTTTCTATTCTTGATTTTTAGCAGACTAAAAATGTGAGACAAATACATTGTGGCATCAGATCTTAAGAGAGATCCACTAGATTGCAGACATTTCTGCACTTTATTTATGTGTTTTCTCTAAAGAGTCTGTACCATTTATTTAATATCACCAAGGATTTCCTCTGTTTAATTGATTTATCTCCAAACATCAACGGTGGAAAGTGCAACATTCAGTCAGCTTTACAGATAACTATTTGTCCTATACTGGTCCTGTCAGGTGAGATTTATTTTAACCATGTTTTGTCTCAATCCGGTGATTTTAAATATTAATAATAAATGAAAGGATATTTTTTTCATTCACTTGATGAGGAAATTGTCCTACCTCTTTCTAGTACTGGATATGAAATGTTTTACAATCCAAAATTTAATCTGCTAGGTCTACATTATTTGTGAAAGAGGTAAAACAAAAGGCTTTTCTTCTGACCTTATAACACTGGACGTTTTTAAGGTTACGTGGTTTTCTCAAGTTAGCAATGCCAAAATCATGTGCTGATATGGACAATAATGCATTTACAAGATTGAACTACAAAATAGAATAGAAAATACATTAAATTAATTCAGCCTTAACTGGAAACTTCTACAGCAGTAAAATGCACCTCAACATTATAGCAAACATTAATACTGTATATATTTATATATCATGCTGTACAAATGTTACTTTACATTTTGATGATAATACTTTCATTCTTTAAATTAATATGATATTACAGTGTGGTATTGGTACTTTCACTATTGTTAATGCAGCAGCCCAATATATCTTCTTTGTAAAATTGTTGTAAAGACACAAGATTTGAAATACAGGTCTTTTTTCTTCTTTTTTTTACATTTCTTGGGATTTAAACACATGGTAGAAACTTGTATTGCCTTTGGGGTTTGGTGATATTAAACAGTTAGAATATTCAGATGTGTGTTGCATGACTACAGAGTGTAAAAACTGAAATTTCCATGTGTAGACTAAAGACATCAGTCTGAGTGTTTTTGGAAACTTTGGGATTTATTTGGCATACTCTTCATGCATTTATGATCACAGTATTCACAGTTAACATGCAAAAAGATGACAGATTTTCAAAACAAGGCGAGTCCTCTACATTCATCAGTTTTGATTTGGAGTCAGGTGACATCTTGACAGCTTGATGTTAGGAGGATTAACATCAGCGGATCAGAGGGTGATTGATTGACATAATTCAAAACAAGACACCGACAAAAACATACACACCGGAGGTCCTTTCACAATAACACATTTTTTGGTGTCCCCTTAGTCCGTTAGGCTCTAGGTCGAGGAGTTAAGGATGCGTGAGTCTGCGGAGTCAGAGCGCTCTTCGTACTCCTCCTCAGGGGAGTAGAGACCAGGTTTGGGTCCCAGCGTGCAGTTCTCTTCCTGGATGCTGATCCGCGGCTCATCTGAAGCTCTGGAGGAGAGCAAGGGGGAGCCGCGAAACACGGACCCCGCAGGGCCTGATACGGGCCCTGCGGGGGAGAAGGGAGACACGTACTGAGCGGCAGAGCGAAGCTGGTACTGCTGTTGCAGCGCCATGGTGTTCCACAGGGTCACGTCGTTGTGCACGAACGGGCTGGCCTGGCTGCGCGTGAGAGAGTTGCGCAGCATGAGCGGATAGCGCGTGGTCTGCGGGAAGGATGCGTGCTGCAGCGGGACACCGAGCGGGCCCGACGCGGAGTCGGATGTGAATCGGAGGGAGTCGGGGACCCGAAAAGCAGAGCCCACGGACCACTTAGCGGAAGAGGACACCGGGTGGTAGGAGCCCAGCGCGTGCTCGAACAGGTGTCCGTTTGAAGGCAGAACGACTGCATCCGCGTGCGGGTCTGTGTGCGAGTGCACGCTCCCGTCAGGACTCCGGCTGGACAGAAGCACCTCGATGGCCCCCACCAGGTCCCCCCCGCAGCCCCTGAGGATGAGCTCCAGCACGGGAGGCTTGTGCGCGGGGAAGATCTTCTTGAGGACCTCCAGAGGGGGCCTGTTAGCTCGGAGGCTGAAGGGAAGGTTGATGGACCCCGCGAGGCCCTCGATGAGAACGCTCTGCTCCGAGGGGCTGACGGGAAACTTCTGAGGACTCACGGTTTTCGCTTCTTTCTCGGTGCTGCCGGGTTTGGGGACGCTGTAGCGGCTCTCCTCGGGGTGGGGGGGAGGCTCTGGGGGCTCAGGGGTGTAACAGGAGTTTGGTTTGGAGCCTTCAGGGGAACTCACCGGGTCCTGCTCCTTCTCACTGGAGCTGCTGCCTCCGTTTTCACCTCCTGACGCCTCATCAGGAGCGTCCTCTGCAGGATCTGCAAAACCAGAAACAAACAGTCAAGAGACAAGTTTGAACATGAAACACAAAAACAAACATTAAGCTGCAAGAAACGTGCACATATTTGGGCCAGACACACTTATTTGGGCTACTCGTTATCTTAAATGCAACTCCTCTATTTCTCTTCAAGGGAAAAGACACACACTATTAATCTCTTGTCAACTTGTCTCCAACACAAAAGATGAACGTGTATTTCTTTGATTCTCTTCTCTGCAGAGCTGTTAACACAACGTGCTGACTGCGTCTGTGTGTCAGCCAGTGAAGGATCTTCCGTCGATGCCTTTTGACCACATTGTGTAAACAGATCGCTCGTTGCTCGGTAACTTTTCATCTCAACTTGACCCCGTCCAGAGAAATATGGCGATTACATTGGATCTTGCTGACCGTGCTGATGACGCTGTTCTTTTAAGCTCTCAGCTGCACGTGAGGCTGATTCGTGGTCAGCTGATCGGTTCTCCTTGTGTCAAAATGTTTGTCTCAGAAACAAACTTAAGTGGAGTCAGAAAGAGCAGAATCTGCTTTATTCTGTACGAATAAAATAAAAAACTACAACTCTGCTATGACGCTGAAGATAAAGGAAAAATGTGTTTATTTTGTTTGTTTATTTTTGCACCAATTTTCTATTTGGGTTAGGCCTAAGACAGAAACTGAAAAAGAGGGTTGTCAGCCTTAAAATTACCACGTTTTTACATTTTACAAAATAGTTCACAGAATTTGACTAATTGCTTGACAGTTTTTAGGACTCAGACGTCATGCGTTATAGCTACAGGCTAAATAAAGGCAAAGTTCCACAAATGTAAAAAAAAAAAAAAGAAAAGAAAAGAAACAGAGACCTACACATATTAGTAGAACAAATGTGTCATTCATTTAAAAGGCCCAACTTGTTTTATAGGTGTGGAGTTTTAAATATCTTTGATTTACAAAAAAAATGCTAGAGACACAAAATGAGCATAACACATTCTGCTTTGCCACAGCCTCACAAACAAGCACACATCAACAATATTTACTATGCAATGACCTACCTTTAAAAAATAAAACTAATTCTATATTTATTTAAATTATCTTGTGCTGCTGTCACAAGCTATGTTCGTTTTATGTCGCATGGTTTAAAAATGTTGAATAAAAATAAGATATAAGTAAAAGTTCAACAATAAACGTTGCATTCTTTAGTTATTTCTGTGAAATTCTACCTAAAAATATAGTCTACAGAGGAATCTGTATCAGAGGTTTTATTAGGGATTGCAAAGACGTTTCTATGTTGTCATTTAAAATATTTTTCATATGCAAGTGCGTTTTTCAGTTATCCAGTCAAATAATTGTGCGTCACTTTGTGATTCAATTTTGTTCGTTTAAAGTAGTAACTTAGCCAATTAAAGAATTATTATTATAATTTTTTAATCTCCTCAAGCGCTTCTCTTACCTGTGCATGTTTGTGCTCCGGCCTGAACCGGCTCCGTGCTGCTCCACCTCAGCTCCAGCTCCTCCGTCCTTGACGGTGCTCCCTGGTTCCCCTCCCCGGTTCCAGACATACCGATGCCGGGCAGCACTCTGAGAGATTCCGGGATGAGGCTCTCCAGGCTCTCGTTGGCTTGCTGCCTGCGTAGCGCCACCTGCGCCGCCATCACGCGCTGCCGCTCGATGATGAGGATGCACTTCTCGCACGTGCAGTCCTTGAAGCGGCAGTAGCGTTTGTGACCTTTGAGCCACGAGAGCACGCCGTGGTTCCGGCACCGCGCGCACTTGGGGGTCCTCTGCAGCGGGGCCCGGGGCTGGGACACCGGAGCCCCCATGTACAGGTAGGGCGACCCGTAGCCGTTCATTTGGGTCAGACTCGTGGTGTTTTCCTAAGCGCACGAGAGCATCTGCAGGGTCGCGAGGCAAGGCGGGAGTTATGTTGTCCTGGAGATTGAGCAGGATGGAGCTGATCTGCCCTGCGCATGAAACGATGAAGAGAAGAAGAGGAGTGGGCTTGTCGAGCAGGATCCACCTTTCCTCCAGCTGACAGCACAGATACGCATCAGGCTGTCACGCACTTATGGAGACGAGTAACCAAACGATGTCAATCACGTCTACGCGCCTGCAGGCTGCAAAAAGAAATGTCCACGAGGGACAAAATAAATCTAACAGTGGGGATCAGATAATCCCTCCTGTTTCCCTGTGAGGCTGTAACACTTGTGCCAGGGTTCAAGAAGACTATTATTAGTTTAAAGATAGTAATGTTGAGAATAGAAAAGAAACATTGCAGCTTTGTCAGTGGATAATGGCAACACGTTTTCAATTATGTTTCAAGAGAAGGCAAAACTGCACAACAGGCTGTCATATGAATTTGACTTGTCTTTTATGTTGACCAGTTTCAATTGTTACATTTCCACATCTAAAAAAAACATTAAATATTTCCTGAAAATAGTATTATAAAAGCCTAAACGATGTGTTGACCCAAAGTTTGAGTTCAAACCCAACTGTCATCTCAATAATGCAATAATCTGGAAAATCTAGTAGTCAAAACTGTCCTAGGACAATATATTGTTCAGTAAAAAAATATACAAGCCAAGTGTAAGAGTTTGTGTGGTTTCTACTCTAGTAGGCATATTTTTTTATCTATTTTATCAAGCCACTCTGGGAAAAAACGAGCTTTCAGCAATCATAAAAAGCTCTTGTTAAAGTTGAGCATTATCCAAATTCAACTGAATCAAATTTGAGATCTTTAAGTCAATAAAGACTTATGTACAGTAGGTGGAAAATCAAGTCCCTGCATGAAAATACAACTGTTTATCAGTACATTAAAAGGCCAAATGCACAATTACTGGCTTCCATGTTTTCATAAACCTGTATTTATTTAAACTGACATGAATCAAAAGGAAATTGAACCTGGAAATAGAGGCATTAATCCTCAGAACTATTTCTAACTATTAGGTCCAAGTCAAACTGTTTCACTCAAGTAATGACTCAGCTGCCAAAACTCTGGTCCCTTAAGGAATATAAATATACCATGTATCCTCAAAAAATGTCAACTATCAGGAAATAACACAAGTATTAAAAGATATGTTTTAATTAGCTAGGATTTCTGTTCCCTTTCCTCTCCCTGTTCAACTGCAGGCCCTCCATTATCAG